AAGATAAATATTTTATTTGTATAGATTATTAAAATGACTACAAGAATTAACTACTCAAAAATTTACTAACTTAAGTTGATTTACCTCCCTTCCCACTATAGAGCGTGACATAAATAAATGAATGCACAACGGCAATTATTATATAGTAGATCTCTCCTGCTTACTTTCTCTCTCTCACACACACACAGTCTCTCTCTCTCTTTTTTCTCTCTCTCTCATACACACATATACACACATATATACAGTCTCCTCCTCTATTTCTCTCTCTCTCTCACACACACACAGTCTCTTTTACTGACATGCGTGCATATAGACACACACACACTCTTTCTCTCTCATATAACACACACACTTCTACCAACATTAACATAGACTATCTATTTCCTGTCATATGTTAGGAGATATAAATAAAACATAAGCAAAAATATCTATTATTTATATTTTGGGAATTATGAAGATAGACAGGTAGATGTTACTTTTTATGTATATTTAAATAGATATCAGAACATATGCAACATAGATGTGAAGAGAAAGGGATGGACATATATTGACGGACAGAAAAGATACATAGCTATCAACAGACTAGAAAGATAGATATTGACAGACTGGGAAAGATGGATACAGAGAGACTTGGGAGGATAGATAACGACAGACTGGGAAAGATAGATATCGACAGATTGAGAAAGATTATGACAGACTGAGAAAGATCAATGTCAACAAACTAAAAAAAGATAGATATCAATTCGAGAAGATAGATATGGAGAGACTGGAAATAATAGAGAGGTAGAATTCATCAAGAAGATGAATAGATATCAACAAACTGGAGAAAATAGGGAGGTATTAGCAAGACAGATACCAACAAACTGGAGAAGATAGATATTGACAGACTTGTGAAAATAAGATGATATTAGCAAGAAGAGAGATACCAACAAATTGGAGAAGATAGATGAAAACAAACTGAAGAAGGTAGATATCAACAGAATAGATAAGGTTAGTAAATATCAACAGTCTGGATAAGGTTAGTAGATATTGACAGACTAAGGACAACAGACAGATATCAATACACTGGGGAAGGTAGATAGGCAGACATCAATAAACCCTAATGGATAAATATTTTTAAAACAATAGATTTGATCTCTAGGCCAGTAGACTAATTTCACTGCTTAAAGAATAGCAATCTCCATGCAAACTTGTGTAGCCACTAAATATAACATTTGCAGTAATAATAATGCAGTAACACTTTTATGTTCTTTCAACTTTTGCCATTACACTCTGTTATCTATCTCTTTTTCCTTTATCACTCTCCTTCTTCTCAGGACTGTACTATATTTAATGGGTGAGCTATGAATTTTTTTCCCCATTATGGGCATTATCATATCCATGACATACTAACATCTTACTTCATGGACAGAATAGAATAGCTAAAAGGAAAGGAATGATAAACAAACTTTGTTTGCAGAGTGATAAGTCGTACACAAAATTATACACATATATTTATACGTTCCCCACAGAGAGACTATAACATATATTTATATAACAAGCAGTGTGCAAAGGTATGCAAAGATAGGGTCTTACATATAGTAATTCCCAGTGGGAATTAGGTATGCTGAGTGTTCTGCGTTTCTGGAGAAGCCATATTTAGGATTCCAGATTCAAGTGGGCTAGATTTATCTGCTATGTCACTAGTAAGGACATATAAAAGTTGCAAGGGGAGGCATATTTAGTATCAGACAGGGCTGAGAGGACCTGGATAAAAAAAAAGGCAACTTCACAGTTTGATTCCTGGACACTGACTGAAGGACACTTGTCCCTCTATGAAGTGACATCACTTCATCACAACCAAAGGGAAATAACTGCTTTTTGTATCCCAACTTATTTTACAAAAATTCTGATAATATAGAAATGGCCCTCTCTTTGCATTCATCTGCAACATTTTTATGTTTGGTAATTTTAATGCTTATCATGTTAAGTAGTTCCCGCATTCTAATGTTACTGACATTGCTAGTATTCAGATTTTGAATTTTTCTGTTGCTCAGTCTCTCAGTCAAATGATATATTTCATGACTTGTTTTCCTAATAAATCTGATCAACATTCTTCTTTACTTTATTTCTTCCTTACCTCCTCTCCTAGCTCTTGTCGAGCATCCTCTCGGCAAATTGGATCAGACTGTAGTATCTGTTGATATTTCTTTTGAGTTGTCTATTAGAATGGAACAGCCTATTCACAAGATAGATAGATATTATTTATTTTAGGATGTTAAAAAAACTTTAAAAATTGCTACATGATTACAATCATGTTTCAACACCACAAATGCGTCTATTCAGGTGATGTCAAACCACTGGCAAGCGATTGAGCCCTCTTTTAAATTAAATGTTATGTACAGTGGAATTAGACACCATTTGTTTTCACTTTACCTGAATATATAGATAGAAAGATATGAAAAGACAATGATTGGATAGATTCATATGAAAAGTCAAGGATAGACATATAGATACATATGAAGAGATAAGTATAGATAGAAAGATAATCAAAAGACAAGAATAGATGAATTGATAGATAGATAGATAAGGAGAGACATATATATATATATATATATATATATATATATAGAGAGAGAGAGAGAGAGAGAGTGATATGAAGTGACAAGGATAGATATAAAGAGACAAGGATATATAGATAATGAAAAAACAAGGATGGATGAATTGATAGATAAATATGAAAAGACAAGGATAGATAGATATGTAGAGACAAGTATATATATATATATATATATAGAGAGAGAGAGAGAGAGAGAGAGTTTTGTGAAGAGAAAGGATAGATAGATATAAAGAGACAAGTATATATAGATAGATAATGAAAAGACAAGGATGGATAGATAGATCAATAGATAGAAACAAAGAGACTAAGGTAGATGTCAACAGTATGGTATGACCACTTATATCTACAAAAATACACGAATGCATGCCTAAAAATATCAAGATAAAAGTAAACAAAATTATTACAGAATAAATTATTAAAAAATAAAACCAGAGATCTTTCAGAAATTTAATCACTGCCATCTGCTCAATAAAAATATTCATACTCAAATATTATGATTGTTTTTTGACCTCCATTTTGTTTCTTCCAATTTCCTAACACACATAGATATTAATAGATATATATAAATAGACTGATTAATTTTTTACAGCTTATCAACCTTTTGCAAGTTATTTAAAGCCAGAAAATATTTTTAGATTGTAAGAATTTTTCTGAGGTAATAATGATTTACTGATACAATTCCCACTAATTAACTCCTAGCTGGTGTGGGGAGAATAGGGGGATTCATACCTTTCCCAAGGATATTTGCATGTAAGTGAATATAAAAAACCCATCTGAAATTGGAAATCAGTTCTCCAATTAACAATTCTGTGTTATTATCCTGTACACCACCCAAGAATTCACGCTTGCAGTCCCCTGTCTAGTCACAGACCAGGTATGACATTGCTTAACTTTGGTGGTTGTATGAGAATTAATGTCTCAATGTGATATTGCTATAAGCTGATAAATATAAAGAGACTTAATTAAATAGATAGGTAGATATGAAGAGACAGATATGAAGATAGATAGATAGATAGATATAAAGAGACAGAGATATGAAGATAGATAGATAGATATAAAGAGACAGAGATATGAAGATACATAGATAGATAGATATAAAGAGACAGAGATATGAAGATACATAGATAGATAGATAGATAGATAGATAGATAGATAGATATAAAGAGACATAGATATGAAGATAGATAGATATAAAGAGACATAGATATGAAGATAGATAGATAGATATAAAGAGACATAGATATGAAGATAGATAGATAGATATATATAAAGAGACATAGATATGAAGATAGATAGATAGATATAAAGAGACATAGATATGAAGATAGATAGATAGATAGATATAAAGAGACATAGATATGAAGATAGATAGATAGATATAAAGAGACAGAGATATGAAGATAGATAGGTAGATAGATATGAAAAAACATAGATATGAAGACTAGATAGATATGAAAAGATTTAGTTATATAGATAGATATGAAGAGACTGGTAGAGAGATTGACAGGTAGATTGATATGAAGACATTGAAATAGAGATATATCTATAGATAGATATTAACACACCAGGATGCATAGTTGAATGGAAAGAGACTAGAATAGATGTATGGATAGATATATATATATGTAGAAACTTATGTTGATATATAGCTATAAATTGACAGGGATAGATAGAATTCGATGACTTACGTCTGCAAAAATATACACACATAAATACATATGTAAATGTTCCGAGAAAAACTGTAAACAAAACTATTAAAGAAAAATTATTGAAAAATTGGATGAGGAATCTTTCAAAAATTTACTCACTGTCATCTGCTCTATGAAGATATTCAGACTCATATATTACAATTGTTTCTTGCTTTCCACCATTTTTTTTTTATTACCTCCCATCTTTCTGTTTTCCTAACACACATTTATAGCATAGAAAAGAAAATCTTTCACAGAGAAAAGTCAAGGAAAGTAATCTGTTATTTCACTCAAATTGCATATAGAAATTGAGCTGGCTTTATTTTCTTATTTTTTGTTTTATCTTTTTTGTTCTTTTCTATTTCTTATTCTTTTATTTTCCCACCTTTTTGTTTATTTATTTCTTGCTCTTTCCTTCTTACTATTTCTTTTCCTTCTTTTCTTTACTTTTTTTTTATCTTTCCTTCATTCTTCTTCTTTCATTCATTATTGTTCTTATTTATTTCTTGCTCTTTCCTTCTTTCTTGTTCTTTGCTTTTTTCTTTCTTTAATGTTGTTTCCTTATTTCTTGTTCTTTTCTTGCTTCTTTCCTTCTTTCTTGTCCTTGTCTAACTTCTTTCTTTCTTGTCCTTACCTTACTTCTTACTTCTTCTTTTTTTCCTTTTGTTTTCTTCTTTTTCTTCTTTCTTTCTTTTTCTTTTCTTACTTCTTCCATGTTCTTGCCTTTTGTTTTCTTTTTCTTTTCTTCTTTCTTTTCTTCTTCTTTCTTTTTCTTTTCTTACTTCTTCCATGTTCTTGCCTTTTGTTTTCTTTTTCTTTTCTTCTTTCCTTCTTTCTTTTCTTCTTCTATCTTTTTCTTTTCTTACTTCTTCCATGGTCTTGCCTTTTGTTTTCTTTTTCTTTTCTTCTTTCCTTCTTTCTTTTCTTCTTTCTTTTTCTTTTCTTACTTCTTCCCTCTTTTTGCCAGTTGTTTTCTTCTTTCCTTACTTCTTTCTCACCCTATCCTTATTTCTTGCTCTTTCCTTCTTTTTTCTCCTCCTTTTTTCTTTCTTTATCCTTCTTCTTATTTTTCCTCTTTTTTCCTTCTTTCTTACTCTTTCCTTCATGCTTGTTCTTTCTTTCTTCCTTCCTTCCTTCCTTCTTGTTTTTTTAATCTTTTTCTTTCTTTCTTATTCTTTCCTTCATTCTTGTTCATTCCTTCTTTCTTTCCTTTATCCTTCCTTTTTTCTCTTTTTTCCTTCTTTCTTTTTCCTTCCTTACTTACTTGTTTCTTTCTTGATCTCTTTTTACTTCTTTCCTTCTTTCTTAATCCTGGATTTCATACGATGGCACAAAGGCTCTTCTTGGGAAGTATGATTTTTTTCATGAACAGCAGATCAATATCCAAGGTATTATTCTCTATATCAAGTGTACAAATGAAATATAACCCCAACAAAAAATGTAGGCTGATGTTGCAATTCAAGACAAAGGGCAGCCAGGTATATAAATAATTCTAGTTTACCTGTCTGACCATAACCAGCCATATTGTTTGTCTGTCTGTCTCACATTGCATAACTCAAAGACAGTTCAAGCTATGGTTACTTCTAGAACCATAGATCCTGTTTTTAGCTTATTAGCAACATATTATGCAACCCTTTTTTTGATTAACTGCATTACTTAGAATGATTACTTTGCTACTTAAATGTAAAAATGTCTTAGCAATAATATAAGTGACAGATGACTATAAAACGGCACTGTTGAATATTTACGGCTAATTTGGTTAAATTATGCCCTGACTATAATTTGTGTCATGTGCCAAAAATTTTAAGTAAAATAAGTAACCAAGTATTCATTTTAAGTTCTCTCAATATTGATGCCATGATTAATCATGCTTTTGTCGTCTGAACTTAAATATTTATAAGGTAATAAAAAATATTAGTTCAAATGTTATCTAATTAGTGGTCAGTGGAAAAGCTCAAATTGAACAAACTCCAAGGTTAAATTGATGGTTTTTAAAGGCAGTTGTGAAAACATCGCCTTTAACATGTCAGGTTTTGTCTTTTTCCTTAAAGCAACAAATTATGTAGAACTTATTTCAATTAACCATGTAAAAAATTAAAACTATATAAAAATTAAACAATTAGAATGATTACTTCACTACTTATGCAAAGTTAAGAAACAGTCTTAGATGGTAATATGTAACAGATGGCTATAAAAAGACACTCTTGATTATTTACGGCTAAAATGGTTAAATAATACACTGAATATTGTTTGCATGGAAATTATTGTAAGTAAAATGATATACTAAAATAAGTAACCAAGTATTCGTTTTAAGTTCTCTGAATGTCAGTGATTATTACCTCTTGAAAATTCCAAAATTTTTCTAGTTTTTCGTGATGTGGTACATTTTACAATGAATATATATGCAGCAATGAGAGTAGTTGAAGAAAATAACTGCAGGTTGCACACATGCTCTGCCAAAAATAAAAAGAAAAAAACCCAAGCTGTGTTTTTAGATTGTTTATAGAGAAATCTAGACATGCAAATTTTGATCTGACCAGTTGTGAGCATTTCGAATGTGTATATAAATAGCGACATTTGTAGTGTCAAGGTGTGTAGAATTTTTTAAATTTGAGTGTGTGTTTGGTTTAGTTTGTTAAACCATGGAGATATGTGTACTTGGATTTGCAAACATTTGTTTTGCCATAAGATAATAACAGATAATTGAATAACAAAATGGAAAAAATCTCTTACATTACACCTTTCATCCCCCAAAAGGACTTCTTCAGACTAGTAAAGATTTTATGCAGGGAATCTTATATATAGGGAGGGAATGAAATACAACAAATGCTAGTTAAAATTCTATATTGAGAAAGACTGATTGATACCATGATGCTTAGATTTAAATTTCTAAATTAATGGCATCCAATATGTCTACATATGCATAATCCAGCCAATTTTATTCAGTTTCATTTTTTATGTTTATTGTTTTTAATATTGTTCATTGATTGATTTTTTATGGCTTATCAACCTTTTTTGTTGGTGATTTAAAGCCACAACATATTTCGAATTGTAAGAATAATTCATGTTTTGCAAGTAAATATTGCATTAACAGCTTTTTGAGAATAATAATTTTTTTCAGATAAAAGTCCTACTGTTTAACCCATAACTGGAGATGGATTCATATCTTTCCCCTTGGGTATTTGCACGTAAGTGAATGTAATAAGCTAGATTGAAATTCAAACGCAACTCACTGATTTTTCATTTTGAACAGCCAGGTGATAATGGCTATCCACAACTTCCTTTTTTTTTGCTCTAAGTAACTTTTGTTTTTTTTTACTATCTTTATCATGTCCCTGCTCTTCTATCTATTGACTGCTTCCCTATGTTTGTCTTGTCTTCAGTATGTCCTCTGAGTGTTAGATTCTCCTGGCCTTGTTTCCTCATTATATATCCCATAATTTCATCAGTCTCTTTCTGATTATAGTTGGTATTTTCCTTAAAATTGCCATGTTGCTTGTATATTCTGTTCATGATATTCTGAGCATTCACTACCATATGGGAGATCAGATACTACTTAGGTTTTTTCAGCTAAAGCAAAATCTTTATATTTTCTTGACGGGTATAAAGAATACGTCTAGTAGAAAAATTTCTTAGTCAGAAACCAAAGTTATGAGCATTTTTTTTTTTTTCATGACATTTTTCTTGTGATATTATTTCTGGTCATTGGAAAATCAAGTCTTAAAAAAAATACTGTTATCTGCTTACATTTATAATGCAAACCATAGCCACCAGGAAGCCGCTTAGTCTTTTTTGTATGAACTAGTTTAAAAACTTACCTGGTTTTACTGAGCAAGGGAGTTACAGTTAGGTAATGCAATTTGACAGCTTTATTGTTTAAATATTTTCTGCACAGGCAATTTGCTTGCTCCGTACGGGTGTTTTGGATTCCAGCTGGACACTACCATTTTTGCGGATTTTGTCTGTTGGTTCCGGAGTCTCTTGGTTCTGGGATTGTTAATTCAAGGTTTTACTGTACTCTCTTTGAGACTTTGTACATTTATCCCAGTGTCTCTCCCACCTTTTGCCTTGACAGTGGCACACAGAATAAACTGATTGATATTCCCTGATGGTGTGTAAACCCACATCAAAAGGGATCAAGTTCCAGATTGATACATGTAAACAAGTATATAAACAGGACATGCCTATCTTTTTGACTCCAGCCTAAAAATGTTTCTATGTCTACCTGTGTAGAGTTTTTTGTGAATTTTCACCTATAAATCATATATTTGAGATTAAAAAAAATCAACATGGTTCCTTATGTCATCAATTTGCCACAAAACCAAAACAATCACCTAAAAATTTGTCTCATATTCTTTAATAGCCTCATCAGATCGAGACTTTCTTATGGATGCCATGCTTGGTGCAAAACTCATTCAGAAATATCTAAACTGTCAGTTGTATCCACTCACTTTCTCAGCTCAGTGCTTTAAAATGGCTTTGAGCAAGTAAAGCCTATATGTCTTACAGAAAAATCATCCCTCTTTGAACCTTCTGGACTGGTACTAGAGAAACACAAAGAACTTAACCAAATAACAGAAATGACATCCCTAGAGGACTTTCAACAGCAGCAACAACTGAAATGGATAGCACATGTAATTCAAAGAGAAAATATTAATATAATCAAGATATTGACTTTCCACACTACTACAAACAAAAGGTTAGAAAGGAAACCCCCATCAATACTGGAAAGAGTGATAACAACTACTGGACTTGAGAAACCTATTTTTCTGTAAAATTGTTTTAAGAGAAAGTCTTTTTTAAATTTCAACTGACAGTGACACTGACTGCTTGGTTAAAGAATGCAGAATGTTCCTTTATAAGGAAATAGCTGATATTATCATTACCATTTCATGTACCCAGGGGTGAACCATCCTCATTCCCTTTGGTATGGTATGGTTTGGTTTATTTTGCTTTGTTTTATGGCATATTAACCTCAATGAGTTATTTAATGCTGACAAGATTTTTTATTGCTGGTAATATTTTTCAAAAATGTATTGTTGGTAATAATGTGTTGTTAGTAATAATTTTTTTCTTCAAAATTTATTGCTGGTACTGATTTTTTACAAAAATGTATTGCTGGTATTAAAACCTATTTTTATACTTTCATAGCATTTTCACCCCAGTTTTGGGTTAACTATTTGCCCATAGCTGGCACCCACCTAACAGCAATTAAGAGATGGTTCCACACTCCTCAAAACCTCCTGATCAGAGGTATTGCTGTCAGATGTAGTTAATCGTCTTACCCAGGACACTTCAGTTGGTGGGGTGGGGGTTTTACCCCTCTGCAGAGGTGCAGTCAGTATATTCTGAAGCCCCAGCCAACAGGGAAATCATTCCATTTGTATTCCATTAATAAGAAAGGAGTTCCTTTCAGATAGCATCTTCCCAAGAGCCACTGCTTTGTGGAACAAACTTTTGAGAGGATGCTTCCCCAATCATTATAGTCTTAACCTCTTCAAGTCCAATTAACCATTATCAGTCCTACATATCCCCATAATCTGAAATTCTTACCTCCTCCTGTCTCATTCATAAGAAAACCTCATTCTGTAATCCTCTACCTTGAGTGACTCTTGAGCCTTGTCTTAAGTAAAAATAGTTAAAAAAAAATCTAACCAAATGTATGTAGGATGTGTGAATAGTGCAAGGAAATGTGGAACCAGAAAACCATGTTCAAATTTCAGGCTAGTATGTTACATTAACTTACATGCTAATGTTGTTACTGCCAATTTAGTCATGCACATAATCCTGAATTAGTCACATGGAGTGTTTTGTTATCCCAAAATTTTTAAAGTACTCGTAATTCCTAGTTTGACACTTGTATCTTTTGCTCCCTCCGAATACTCTCCTGACACAGTGAAGGGTGGATAGTATGCAGTATGGTACAGCTTTAGCTGAGTTGTCATGGGTGGCAGATGTAGTTTTGTCTTCTTCTTGGTGTCCTGTCACCCACCTGATTAATGTCAGTAAGGTTTCATGATTTGTATTTATATATTTCATTAAAAGGGAAAATAATCTACTGAGACGAAAATGTCTGGAAAGTGCCTTTGATCGCTAGTTCAGTCACAATAAATTTACATCCAGTCTCTTACAATATATCACCATTCTTGGTTGATTTTATATTGTCACAGTGCGAGATAATCAGGAACAATGGTGGTGGAGAGATAAAGAAAGAGAAAAAGAATACACATGATTTCAGCTAGATAGAAAAAAAATTTTGAATCTCTATCTATAAAAGGCAGGATGTGTGTGTAACGAATGCACGGCTGCAATTTTTGACGGATTTGCACCAAAATTTACATGCACATGCTCCAAGTTAGTGGGAAGGCTAAGACTGACTTTGCATTTCCCAGCTCCCATTGATAGTGGAAATAATCGATTTTTTCATGCTTCTACGGCAGTTTTCATGTAGCTTGCGGCCATTTTCTACTGGCCAGAGTGAGAGCCTATA